AATGCTCATCATCCCTAATCATCAGAGAAATGCAAATCAAAACCACCCTGAGATATCACCTAACCCCAGTGAGAATAGCCCACACCACAAAGTCCCAAAGCTGCAGATGCTAGCATGGATGTGGAGAAAGGGGGAATGAACACTTTTACACTATTGGTGGCACTACAAACTAATATAGCCTCTTAGGAAAGAAGCATGGAGAATCCCAAGAGAACTTAGCATCTACCCAGAAGAAAAACTATCATTTTAGCATAAGGACATTTGTACTAGATTGTTTATCACAGCTCAATTTACAACAGCCAAGATGTGGAAATAATCTAAACACCAATCAACCCAGGAATGGATTTATAAACTGTGGTATATGTATACCATGGAATACTATTCAGGTATAAAAAAAGATAGAGATCTTACATTGTTTGTATGCACCTAGATGGAGGTGAAACATATTCTTCTTATCACAAGAATGGAAAAGCAAGTATCCAATGTACTCAATATAAATTATGAAGCCAGTAAACGATCTAATATACATCAATCCAAGGGAAGAGCTCAATTCAAGATGGGAGGAGGGGGAAAGAGGAGGAGGAAGGGGAAGGGACTGGTATGCTCCCACCTAATGGGTTTAATGTAAGGGTATATGGCATGCCTCCTGGGTGCAGGACACAACTACAACAGGGATTCTACCTAACAAATACAAACACTTTAACCTAATTGTTTGTTCCCTCACATTAATCTGAAATTAAAAGAAAAACAGAGAAACATACAGTGTTTACTTATATGAATGCTGAAAATATTAAAATAGCCTAACCAAAAAAGAAAAAAAGGGGGGGGGGAGCAAGGGGAGGAGAGGAGGAACGCAAGAAAAAAGCAGGCAGACAAATGTCCAGCAGGAAATATTTAAATACTTTGGGGGATGTAAATTATAAATCACAAATTTTTTTATAAAGTATTATGTCCTAGGGAAATACTCCTTTGAGACAGTCTCACTCTGTTGCCCTGGGTAGCATGCTGTAGTATCAGAGCTCATAGCAATCTCAAACTCCAGCTTTCCAGAGTGAGCAGTGCATGTAGTACATGTAGTTCCTGATTGCTGTTTGCCACAAGTATGCTGGAAAGGATGTAATAATTGCAAGTTCTCTAAGACCAGGTTTCCTAAGCTTAACAAATTCAGAACTGGCTGCCTTCGCAAAGAACCAGAAGGCCCACAGTGTCCTTATCCACATGATGAAGAAGTTGGACCTCAACTGTGATGGGTGGCTAGATTTCCAAGAATTTCTTAGTCTTATTGGCAGCATGACTGGTTTGCTTGCCATGACCCATGACTCCTCTATCATGGGTACCTATTCCCAGAAGCAAATCTGCGTAGGCCTTGGGCCTGGCCTCCAAACCAACACCTTTTCCTCTAGCCTCCCAATCATCATCTCCTCATGGCCCCTACTCACTTACAGCCCAGCATACTCACCACCCACTGCAAGCTACTCCTGCTGGTAGTAATAAAACAATATTGTTTTTCAAAACACACAGACAGGGGCAGCGCCTG